CTGCCACAATAAAAATAAAAGGGAAAAGAATTTTTTTAAGTGGAGGAGAGGAGCACCTGGGAGGCTCAGTCAGTTCTGAGTCTGACTCAATCTCTGCTCAGGTCTTGATCTCAGAATCATGAGTTCAAGCCTTGCATTGGGCTCCACACTGGGAGTGGAGCCTACTTAAAAAAAAAATGTGGAGGAAAAATACTTCCTCAGGCAAACAAAAACTGAGAGAAATTATCACCAGTAGACCACCTTCGCAAAGATTGTTAAAAGAAGTTCTTCAGAGAGAAATAAACTTAGACCTACATAAAAAGGGAAGAGTGCCAGAGAATAATACATGCAAGTGAAAGAAAACCTTTTTCTGATTTTTTTAAAGATTTATTTATTCATTCATTCATTCATTCATTCATGATAGACACAGAGACAGAGAGAGAGGCAGAGACACAGGTAGAGGGAGAAGCAGGCTCCATGCCGGGAGCCCGATGCGGGACTCGATCCCAGGACTCCAAGATCGCACTCCGGGCCAAAGGCAGGCGCCAAACTGCTGAGCCACCCAGCGATCCCCCCCTTTTCTGATTCTTAATGGATCTAATAGATAACTGTTCAAAGTAATAATAGTGACAATATATCAGGTGATTTTACCTTATGGATAAATAAAGTGAATGAGAACAATGTTGTAAGAGATGAGGGGGAATTGAGAATACTACCTATGAATTCAAAGTGTTATATGAAAGTGCTGTTAATTATAAATGGCTATTATAAACTCTAGGGAAACCACTAAAGTTTTTTCAGAAGTATAATATGCTAGGAGAGAAGATAAAATGAAATCACATAAAACATTTAACTAAAACCAGAGAAGTCAGTAAAAGTGGGGTAGTAAAGAAACAGAACAAGTACAATAAATAGCAAACAGTTATAGGGACACCTAGGTGGCTCAGTGGTTGAGCATCTGACTTTGACTCAGGTCCCGGGATCCCGGGGTCCTGGGATCGAGTCATGCGGGGAGCCCGCTTCTCCCTCTGCCTATGTCTCTGCCTCTCTCTGTGTCTCTCATGAATAAATAAAATATTTTAAAAAGATTTAAAAAAAGAAAACTGTTATAAACATGGTAAACATGAATCCAACTATATCAATAACCACTTTAAATGTAAATGGTCTCAATATGCCAATTAAAAGACAAAGGCTGTCAGAGTGGATTAAAAAACAAGACACAACTGTATATTGTCTATGAGATATAAATAGAATAAAAGGGAAAGGATGAAAAATATATGTCAAAAATGTGCTGGGTTAGCTACATTAATTTCAGAAAAAGCTACATCAGAACAAGGAAAATTATGAGGGATAAAGAGGGAGCATTACATAAAGATAAAAGGGCCAATTCCCCAACAAGACAAAACAATCCTTAATGTGAATACACCTAACAACGGTACAACAAAATACACGAGGCAAACATTAATAGAACTGAAAGGAGAAACAGATAAATCCACTATTGTGGTTAGAAACCTCAACATTCCTCTCTCAGTAATCAACAGGTCCAGCAGATAGAAAATTAGTAAAGACATAGCTGAAGTAGACAGTGCTGTCAACCTAGTAATCTCATTTACATTTATAGAATATTTCATCTAACCACAGAAAAATATACATTGTTTTGAAGCTCAAGTGGAGCATTCACCAAGATAGATCCAATTCTGAGACATAAAACAATGTAACAAATTTATAAGAATAGAAATCAACAAAGGGTGCTGGGACATTAGACTTACACACACAAAAGAATGAAGTTGGACCCCTCCCTCATACCATATGCAGAAATTAACTCAAAAATGGATTAAAGAGCTAAATGTAAGAGATAACACTATAAAATTCTTAAATAGGCATAAATTCTCATGACCTGGATTAGGCAATAGTTTTTTAGCTGAAACATCAAAAGCACAAGCAACAGTAGGAAAATAGATATGATGGATGTCATCAAAATTAAACTTAAAATTAAAACTTTTGTGCTTCATAGGGTACCATCAAGAAAGTGAAAAGACAACATACAAACTGGGAGAAAATTTTTGCAAATCATGTATCTGATATGAGGAATATATAAAGAAGTGTTACAACTCCACAATGAAAAGATAGCCCAACTAAACAACAGGCAAAGGATTTAAACAAACATATTTTCAAAGAAGATCTTATAATAGCCAACAGGCATGTGCAACCATGTTCAACATCATTAGCCATTGGAAAGAAGGAAAGTGACCGCTACTGGCTATTAGGTTTCTTTTGGGGGAGATGAAAATGTTTTGAAACCAAATGGTGGTGATGGTTGCCCAACCTGGTGAATATATTAACAACCACTTAATTATACACTTTAAAATGGTGCATTTCTGGGATGCCTGGGTGACTGAGTCAGTTGAGCACCCGACTCTTGATTTTGGTTCATGATCTCAGGGTTGTGGGATCAAGCTCCATGTGGGGCTCTGTACTCAGTGAGGAGTCTGCCTGAGGATTTTTCTCCCTCCCGCTCTGCCCCTCTCCCCAGCTCGTGTGTATGTATGTGTGTGTGTGTGTGTGTGTGTGTGCGTGTTCACGCACTCTCTCTTACTCTCTCTGTAAAATAAATAGAGACACCTGGGTGGCTTAGTGGATGAGTATCTGCCTTTGGCTCAGGGTATAATCCTGGGGTCCTGGGATCAAGTTCCACATCAGGCTCTCAGCAGGGAGCCTGCTTCTCCCTCTGCCTGTGTCTCTGCTTCTCTCTCTCTCTCATTAATAAATAAATAAAATCTGTTTAAAAAAATGAGGTATCTAAATAATGGAATCTTCTGTGGGGATTTTAAAAATGAGGTACTGGGGGATCCCTGGGTGGCTCAGTGGTTTAGCGCCTGCCTTCAGTCCAGGGTGTGATCCTGGAGACCCGGGATCAAGTCCCATGTCGGGCTCCCTGCTAGGAGCCTGCTTCTCCCTCTGCCTGTGTCTCTGCTTCTTTCTCTCTCTCTCTTATTAATAAATAAATAAAATCTCTTTAAAAAAATGAGGTACAAATAAGTACTACAACACGATGAAGCTTGAAAACATGACGAGTAAAGAAAGCTAAACATAAAAGGCCTTGTGGTGTGTGACTCCACTTAAATGAAATGTCTAGAATTAGCAAATCCAGAGTGACGTAAAGTACTTTAGGGGTTGCCTTGGAATGGCAATGGAGGGTGCCTGCTAATGAGCGTGGGATTGTTTGGGGAGTGATGAAAATGTTCTTCAATTGATTGTGGTGATGGTTGCACAACTCTGAATATGATAAAAATAATTCAACTGTATGCTTCAAATGGGTGAATTGCATGGTATGTGAATTAGAATTCAATAAGGCTGGTAGATAAAAAAGGAAATGGTAACGCTTTCATTCTCTTTTTTGGTAATGTTTTATTTTTTAAGCTGGGTGGTGTGTATACGAGTGTTCATTTTATTGTAATTCTTTAAATTTGCATTTAAATTATACTTTGTAGGGAATACATATATATCTTAATAAAAATATTTTTTTAGAAGTGTGATAGACCTGGATGCTAATTCTGGCTCAACTACTTAAGAGCTATGAGCTCTCTGGCAGATTACTTGACCTTCCACTGTCTTACCTGTAAAGCAGTGAAGGTAGAAATAGTTAATTCCCTCATAGGCTCTTATGTGCCTGGTGCACTGTCAGTGCTATTATTAGCTAGTATTAGCTATAAGGAGTTCAGCCACTTGCCTAAATAACTCAGAATCATGGCCTCTCTGTCTTTAAACTCCAACTTCCATATTTGCTATTCTACAAGAACTCATGACTTTGATCAGGAGAAGAAAATTGACCTCCAAGCAGGACCCACTGAATTCTACCTTAAGAATCCTTACATATTGGCTCTCTAAATTCAATAAAAGTCCTAACCAACCAGGATAAAACCCAAATTTCTACCACTTCTGAGGGTTCGTGTCAACTAGTGTTCCAGTCTGGCTCTGGGGGTTCAAGTCTGAGCCAGATTAAGAGAAGAATACTCTTTCCGGTTTCCAGTCCTGAGGAATCCATATCCATTCGGAGTCTCGTTTCCGGGTCAAGTACTAAGAGACTCTGTGTGGTGATCTTGCTATTGTCTTCCTCCTCCCGACCCCCACACTAGATTTCTAGCACATGATTTCAAAGTCCAAACTGTATCTTTAAACCTATCATCCAGGGTTCTGGTCCAGATGAATGCATCAGTGAATGCATCAGGGCTGGGAAAGGAGATGGTGAGGAAGGGTAAGAGAGATACGAGCTTATCTGGGTCCCTCGCAAGGACTCTTAAAGGAGATACCATTTCATTGTTCCCCATGAATTGTGAACAATTTATATTCATGTACAATTATTATCACAGCCCATTGCTTAAAACGCCTGCCAGATAGTTCACACTGCTGGTTTCCTTCTGCCCTTCCAGAGTAATGAGTATCTGCCTTTGAGCCATAGCACTGTTTGAAACTTCCCCCACCAGAGAAAGGGAAAGAGAAAAAAGGAATGAACCCAGGCCCTTTAGCCTACTGTCAGCAACTCAGATCAATCATTCACTGGGATGAGGAAAGGCTAAAACACTGGATGTAAATGGAGTTTTGCTTCAGGAAAACTTTCCCTGATCTTCCCTCATCCCACACTAAGCTGGTACCACACTGCAAAGTCTCACAGCACCCTTTTAATTACCCTTTTGTAATGCCACATGTTTATGACATTTCATTTCATGTCTGTATTTCCCTTGAGATTCTATGCTCCAGGAGGGAAGGGACTTCCTCTTCCTTGTTTGCTACTGTATCCCCCCTCAGCTAGTATGGGTCTCTGCACATAGCAGATGCTCAGGAAATAATCTGACAGACCAAAGAGACAGACTAGCAATCCATGTAATGACAGATTAACTCCTGCAGTTGTGAAGGGGGATAATCAAAAGTCCAACTGGACACCTTGGATTTCTAAAGGAAGTGGTCCTAGGAAAGGATCTCACTGCAGAATGGCTTATTTGGGCAAACAGTTAACAATTTACCTGTGCTGTGTGAGTACATTGACAGCTGAGGGGTGATTTGCACAGTAAGCCAGATACATAGATTTAAAATGAGGCATGAGGTTCAGCAGACAACCTCCTACTTTGTGTTGGTTTTCTGGAAACCTGTAAGTAAGACAGATGAAACACAGAATGTAAAATATGAAACAAGGGACAAAGGAAGAAGATTACCAATCAAGCCTGGCTACATGCGAACCTTTTGAATTATTTTGCGAAAGTTAAAAGAGAAAATATGTTCTAACCACTTTCTCCATGGAATGTAAGTTCTTGACCACCACCTTATTTTTTGTTTTTTGAAGGGATAATTGACCACCACTTTAAACTTGAGCCACCAAACACAGAACCAATAAATAGGGGCTAGATGCTTACTTGAAATTACTAGGTAGGGTTTTTTAAAAAATATATTTGTTCAAATTATAATATTCAAAATTTTAGCCAGGCACACAAAAAATACTCTTGGCTAATTTATATGAAGTTAAAGGACAGACAAAAGTAATCAAATCTAAAAATGACACATCACAAAGGAATATTATGCAGTCTTCGTGGCTCGGTGGTTGCTAGGCAGGATGGCCTCAAGACTAATTATTTTAAGTTACAAGCCACCTGTCGTCATTTGTAGACAAATCAGAAAAGTGCAAGAAAAAAATTATTCAGCATTCCACTGTTCACAGACAGCTATTAGAACAATTTTGGCATGTTCCTTTGTCTTCCTTCTACATGTTTCTCTATAAAATGGAAAACAAAGATTACAAATCTAGTTTGCAACTGGTTCCTCTCACTTAGTGACTTATCTTTCCACATCAATAAGCTGGATCGTATCAGTATTTAGGATGGCTCCTCAGGTCTCTTTGGTATAGGCTCTTACCATCTTCCTTCCTGGATGACCACCTGTGTCCCAGAAAGCTCAAGAAACAGGCAATCACCCCAATTTCCCTATAGACAATGAAACTTCTCCGAGATACAGTGCTTGGAAAATTAATCTTGCTACAAAAATATATTGCCTGATGATCTTTACAGTCCATTCTGTATATGAAGTTGAACACCTCAATTATTGAGCTAGCCATCAAATATGTATTGTGGGTCACATAGATATACTTTCCTTTCCCCACTTTTTTGTGTATTTCAACTATTAATATAATAGACAAGATAGCAGGAGTGATTTAAAGAGAAAAAGCAGCTTATGCAACTGAATGAATTATCTGACTAATTTTTCCAAGTAATTTGCAGTATACAAAAGAAAATATCTAATCAATGTCAAAGGCATCGTCCATGGTCAGTTGAGACCTTATTTGCCTCTTACACTGATCAGGAGCAGTAAACCAAAACAATTTTTAAATAAAATCAGAAAAAACGTACTGCATGTAGAGCCCTGATATACAATGCATTAGTGGTTTGGCTCTGTAAATACCACCACCTAGTGGGTTTTTCTCTATACAGGACAATTTATCAACGTTGTAACAAATGAGTAAATATAAAGTACCCCTATCTAAGACAACAGGTAAAGGGTAAACAAAAGACACCAAAGAAATGGTATTGCTGGCTACCCTAATGGCAACACCCAACACTTACTTTGAACATTCTTCCAAGGCTTGGCAGAGTGTCTGTTGAAATGAGCATACTTCCTCAAAGTTCCCCAATAAAGATGTAAACTCCACAGTACTCAGACTGAAAAAAAAAAAAAAAACACATGGTTTCAGTGAATAGAACTTCAGGATGATTCCAGTTATCTACCTCCAGTCTAGTGAGCTGATTATTTGCTAAAAATTGGCAAATGGGATGAGGGAAGGGCAATCTCTAGATTTTAACTTTCACTTTTTAATTTACAACAACTCTGTGGTCTTAAACAACTTTTAAAAGTGTCTTTCCTTGATTTATTTTTTCTATAATAAGAATAATGATCCCAGAGCAAACAAGTGTTTATAAAAGACATTTAGGTGTTTCACAATGCAATGAGTGAACAAATAACAAGTGTGTAATATTTAAGTATCTAAATAGGCAAAATACATCATGGCTGGGGAATAAATGTAAAAAATTTTGAGTATTCTCTTCTAGAGGAGCTGGGAGATTAATTGAAAGATATTATATATTCTCATAGACTGCACAGGGAAAAATTGCAAAATCCACTTTCTCCCAATTTAATGCTCATAAATCAATAAAAGGAAATCTTCATGAGAGGAAGTAGAGGAGAAGAAAATAGTACTGATTTATTTGCTTGTTTTCTTGCTTGTTTGGTTGTGGAATGGAATAGAGCAAATAAAGGCCAACTGAACAATTTTATCCAGAGCCTCTGTACTATGAATTTTCTCCATTTTCCCCCACCAAATGGTAGGTGATTACATGCACCAACAACACTCACACAGCACTTAACACTTCTCCAGGTGTTTCACAAATAATAACTCATTTTAACCTGACAACAACCTCATGAGGTGCCTGCTATTGTCTCCATCTTGCATGTAAGGAAACCCAGGCACAGAGAGGTTAAAGCAAATCACCCAGCCACAAAGCTAATGAAGGGTGAAGCCAGAACTTAAACCACAACATTCTAACTCCAGAGCCCATGTTCTTAAACACTTTTTGGGAGAAAACTTTTCTGAAGATTTAGAAGGCCAGTGTCAGCCACACATTCTTTATTCTTCATATAATAGGGGAGTGTTTCCAAGAGAGTATTTTTGCTGACAAAGAAAAGGAAGCCCCACACAAACCTTACCAGTAACCCCTCGAGTATAAGAAGTGCCCAGTTCCTCTGCCATCATGCCCTTCTGAACCACAAGCTGGAAAACCCCTAGTATGGGTATTAAAAGTGAAACATTCAGCCAGCCAGCTTCCCTGACTTCCTTCTCTCATGGCCCCAAGAAGGTGACTGGGGAGTCGAACTGAACCTGATTGGGGGCTTTCTTGGTCCCTTCAGGATCAGACAGTAAACAGTCTGGTTTGCTCCAGTCACTCTGTCTAGAAAGACAGCTGGTAGAAACAGACCCCAAGTGTATTCTGAATTTACATGGCAACAGCACAGTTCTGAGTCAGGCTTCTTGCCTCCTTCATTTGCAACCTTCCCATCTCCCCTCTCAGGGTCATCACCTCGGTTTCCTGCCCCTGTCTGTCACCTCTACAAAATGGAAGGCACATTTCAATCAGCGGCAGGAGGTGCAGCTGGTCGAGTCTGGCCACTTACTGGCTGTGTGATGGGTACAGCAATAAGCCTCTGGACTTCAGTTTCCTTATTTGTTCAATGGGGATAGTCATTTCTTCCAGGGCACTAGACTCAATGATTCATTGAGGTTCCTTCCATTCAGCTCTAAGAAGTATGATTCACAGGATTAACTTCATGTTTTACATAATAATAACAAAAGACACTTTGTTGTTGATCATGTTTCAATGCTTACAAAACACAGGAATACAAAATCCTTTCATACCGAAGTTAAGATTCCCATAGTGCCATGGAAAATAACCAACTGGGAAATTTAGCAAGACCTTATGCCTTAGAAAACATGATTTGGAAAAAAAAAAGGGAGGAAAAAAATCACAAAATATGTTAAATTTATTTAAGCCTGAAGTCCAATAGCTGAGGCAGCTGTCCAGCGAAAGTAAACTCTTACCGAGGGGAAGGAGGAGGCTTTTGTCCTGCAGTTTAAGGGCCTGTGGCTCAATTTTCTATTTGACTTATAGATCATAATCTCTAGTAAAGTGTAATCAATTAAAATAAAAACACAAACAAATGCAGTTAGCCACTATTTGTTAAATAGGCCATGCCTACAAGCACAAAAAAAATGGTCAATGTTTTTCTTTTGTGAAAATGAAGTTTTCAATTCAAGCTCCAGACATTTCTAAGACCAGAATAAGGTTTGAGTATTTTATTTAAAACAAACACACAGGGCAGCCTGGGTGGCTCAGCGGTTTAGTGCCGCCTTCAGCCCAGGGCGTGATCCCAGAGACCTGGGATCGAGTCCCACATCGGGCTCCCCGCATGGAGCCTGCTTCTCCCTCTGCCTGTGTCTCCGCCTCTCTCTCTGTGTCTCTATGAATAAATAAATAAATAAATAATATTTAAAAAAATAAAACAAACACACAAACATTTTAATAGTTCTATCATTCTCTTTGGTCTGAATGAAATACGACCTCGAGGTGCCCTTAACAAACATTCACAAAATGCCACATGCTTTCCCTTCTCAGACCATGGAGAAGAGTTTCTGCCCCGGCAAAGGTCAGGGGGAGCACAAAACTTTCCAGTTTATATGTTTTCTGCATAAAAACACTAGCAGGATCCGTGTGTGCAAGGTAAAACTGCATATATTGCTTTTAAAACATACAAGATAAAAACTGCGACAGACAGAAATGCGGATGTGCTCATTCCTTCCACAGGCAAAAGAGAAAGAAAGCCAAGCTCTCCAGCAGCAACATCTTGTGTAATTTCCGTTGCCCTGACCGTGTTCTTGGCAACCTGTGATCTGTGGAAATTCTTCTAAAGGGCAAAATCAATTATTCAGTGACATAAGAGCAATAACTCTGGATGCTGACATTATCTTGCTTTATTTAGCAAGGGGTTTAAAATGTAAATCTTACTTGTTATTGGACTGCAGGGGTCTTAAATAAGTGACAAGTAGAGACTGAAGTTCTTTAGCATAATCCTTTTCAGTGTCCAAAATGTTCTGTAACACCTATGGAGAAACAAAGGTCAAGGTCAAGCTCTTGTATTTCTCAGGACAGTCGAAGGTAAGATATAGCTTGAGATCTTTTCATCAAATTACTAGCCTAGCACTGTAAGAAGCACAAAATCTGAATGCATTTTGTTTCATTCTAGCAAACTACCTTAATAATTGCATGACAATTGGTTATACTGCATAATTCATATGAATACAATTTTTCACAGTTACTCATAACTGGAGGGACCTGGCCATTTACACAGCACTGTTGAGAATGCTTTCACGTGCTCTAAATCATTTATCCTTGGGAAAGGCCTCAGTTAACTAACAAAGGACCATATCCCATTTTATGGATGCAAATATAGAGACCAGTTACCTGAAGACATATGGATTCAATGTCAGGATGATTTCATGATAACTGATGTCAAAATACCACAAAAGGGACGCCTGGGTGGCCCAGCAAGTCATGTTCCAGTAAGATCTTTAGGGGACAAAATCTGAAGCCACAGTGAATTTTTAAGTAGAGTTAAAACTGGTCTTTTAAGAAAGGTAAAAAGTACTAGTATGAACAATTCAGTAAGAAGAGGAAGCTGAAGTGTGAGGAATTTAACAAGGGGAATAATGAATTATAACCAAATTATAATAATTGGTTTTATATGAATAATAACCAAATTAAAATCCTTGAGGCAAAACAACCCATGTACAGTCTGTGATTTCTCTTGCCCTGTCAGTCCTAGGGGCCTGTCTCATTTTCCAGCCTCTTCTGGAGATACCTACAACCTACATTTCAAGCTCCTAGAGATCACCAAGCTACTCCTAATTTACTCAACAGAAATGTAGTATGCCCACTCCAAGCCAAATACCACATGGCCTGCAGGGAGTCTCTACTGTGTTTGCAGAGGATCACAAGACCATGTGAAACATTCTTAGCTAGGAGAGGCCTCTCAGGCAACCAGTGCTCCAGACATCTACTCACAGGACAATGCATGTTGATCTACTTTTGAAAGATGGAGTGGACAGAGCCAGTGGAGACCCAGGTAACTATGGGCTTTGGGGGTAACAACCAGACTGGCAGGTGGTCATCCAAGCTCTGCTACCAACTGACAGGTTGCTACAGTTTTAAGGTTTCACTCGCCTCACCTCAGATTGTGACATTTCACCTACCTCAGGGACCATTGTGAAGAGGGACTGAGACACTACACAGGTGGGTGCTTAGTGAGCAGGATACAGTCCTGCCAATGTAAGGTGTTACAAAAAGGTTTCTCCGTGGCAGCACTACTGACATTTTGGACCAGACAACTCTGCTGTGAGGGGCTGCCCTGTGCATTATGGGGTATTGAGCAGCATCCCCAGCCTCTACTCACTAGATGCCAGTTGCACGCCACTCCTCCATCCAGTATGGCAACCGAACACATGTCCAGATGTTGCCAAATGCCACCTGAAGGACGATATGGCCTGGTTGAGAATCTCTGGGGTAGAGGCCACAAACGACAGCATGGCTTCAAAAGCGAGAGCTTAAGTCATACTCCCCCCTCTCCAGTCACTCATGTCTCCTTTCAGTTCCCCTATTCCTCAGAAACTACTCTCAAAAGGTGTAGATGTAAATAAACCCCAGGGCCTGGAGGCACTGACACTCTCTGAAATTAATCCAGTGACAGAACGGAAATGACTCCCCCCCATAGAAAGCTGAAGCACCACAAAGGAAATTGGCAACTATCTTGAGATGAACAAAAAAGAAAACACAACATAAAAAACCTCACAGGATGCAGTTAAAGCAGACAAATATATAGCTGTAAATGTCCATATGGAAAAAGAAGAAAGAGGACTTCTGGTTTCTGGTCCAGCATTTAAGCAGTGTAGACGTCATTACCCCATCATAACCATAAGTAAATAGCTAAACTAACTGGGGAAAAAAACCCACTTAAATTTTCTTATATCTGTCAAGGAATTGAGGCCACAGGGGAAAATGCTACCTCCCAAACTGGAGAGACAAACATGAAGATACACAAAATCAAAACTTGCTGGCACAGAAATCCATGAGCAGAGGCCTATGTGGAAATCAGGAGCAGGGCAGGACAACTTGAGCTGTAACTGAACTGCTGGGGGCACAGGGTAGACAAGTCTGAGAGTTCAACCTCCAGGGAGCCCAGTCACAGAGCAGCACACTCACCTTTTGTTATATGTCCAGTGGCTCTACCAGGCTGTCACAGTAAAGATAGGAAGAAAATCTCCCTCCTGCTTCAGAAGTGGGAAAGGAAAGGTGGCCATTTTGGAAATACACCAGAGCATTCTGTCCATCCTGACAAGGTCTGCCCTCAAGAGAGAAACTATTTGACCAGGGCCTAACCTTTCAGGTCTTTACCAGAGCTGAACCTCACAAGAAGAAGGGAAATACCTACCCCAGCTCCCTCCAGCCTTCCTGTCCCGTCCCCACCCCCCACCCCCCACCCCCCCCACTAAAAGAGTAAAACAACCTGGGAAGCACTGGTGAAGTTTACAATCTAGAGACATAGCATACCAAAAGACTTAGACTTGATCATTGGACTTCAGAAAAGCCTCCCCAGCCTCCACACCTCACCATCCTACTACTGCAATTCCTTTTACACAGTATGTCACATTTGGCTTCCAACAAAAAGTTATAAGGCATACTAAAAGGCAAAAAACATAGTTTGAAGAAACAGAGAAAACACTGGAACCACAGTCAGGAATGGCAGGAATGTTGGAATCATGAGACTAGGATTTTAGAATGACTATGAGTAATATGCTAAGAGCTCTAATGAAAGTAGACAACATACAAGAACAGATGGGCATTGTAAGCAGAAAGATAGAAATACTTAGGATGAAAATGAAATGGTAGTGATCCAAAACACTAACAGAAATGAAGAATGCCTTTGATGGGCTCATTAGTACACTGGACCACCAAGAAAAGAATCTCTGAGCTTGTGGATATGTCGATAGAAGATTTTGAAACTGAAAAGCAAACAGAAAAAAAAGACAAAAAAAAAAAGAAACAGAATACCTACAAACTGTGGGATAACATATGTTTAATCAGAATGCCAAAAGAGGAAGAAGGGGAGAAAAGGACAGAATACTTGAAACAACAATGATAGAATTTTTCCAAATTAATGTCAAACACTAAATGACAGTTCCAGGAAGCTCAGAGAAAATTGGCAGGATGAATGCCAAAGACAAACCCACCTACGCATAATCATGTTCAAAGTACAGAAAAGGCAAAGATAAAGAAAAGAATCCTAAAAGAAGCCAGAGGGAAGTAAAAATCCAGCTTACCTATAGAGGGGCTAAGATAAGAATTATATCCAACGTATTCTCAGAAACCATGTAAGAAGAGGGCAGTGGAGAGAAATATTTAAAGTGTTGAGAAAAAAACATCCCACCAACCTAGAATTCTGTACCCTGTGAAATTTTCTTTTAAAACTCAAGAAAAAATAAAGGCTTTCTCAGCCATACAAAGATTGAGGGAATTTGTTTCCAACAGACCTGCCTTGGAAGAAATGTTTCAAAAAAGGTTCTTCAGAGAGGAGGAAAATGCTATAGGTCAGAGACCCAGATCTACATAAGGAAAGAAAGTATGAGAGAGGAAATAAGTAAAGATAAAATAAAAACTCTAAATTTTTGTATTATTAATTGATGTAACAGATATATGCTTATATGCTTGCATATAGATAAGCATATATGATTTAAAAATTTTGTATTTATTATCTTTAAATTTAAATTCAATTTGCCAACATATACTATAACACCCAGTATGCTTATGTATAATTGAAATGAATGACAGCAAAGATACGAGGGATGGGAGGGAGGAATTAGGAATACTCTGTTATTATAAGGTACTCACACTACCTGTGAAGTAGTATACTATTATCTTTGGACTACTTCTAAATATACATTGCAAACTCTAGGTCAACCACTGAAAAAAGTAAAAAGAAAATTCTAGAAAGATACAAACTACCAAAACTGACTCACAAAAGGAATAGAAAGTCTCAACAGCTATAACAAATAAAGACATTGAATAAGCATTCAAAACAATTCCCATAAATTAAAGCCTAGGATGAGATGGCTTTTCCGGTTGATTCTACCAAAAGTTGAAAGAATTCATATAAATCCTTCACAAATTCTTAAAATATTGGAAAAGAAGAGAGTAGAAGCTACACTTCCCAATTCCAAAACATACTACAAAGCTACAATAACAAGATAGTTTAGTACTGGTATAGGACAGATATATAGATCAGTGGAGTAGAATTGAGAGTCCAAAAATAAACCTATAAGCTGATTTTTGACAAATGTGCCAAGACCATTCAGTAGGGAAAGAACAGTTTTTTCAACACATGGTGAAGGGATCACTGGATGGCTATATGCAAAAGAATGTGCACTTCAACTTTATAATATATACAAAAATTAACTTAAAATGGACTCAAGACTTAAAACTATCAAACTCTTAGAAGAGAATAGAGGAGGAAATCTTCATGACTTTGGATTTGACACCAAATCACAAGCAACAAGAGAAAAAGTACATAAATTGGAATTCATAAAAATTAAAAACTTTTGTGTGTCAGAGGACAGTATCAGGAAAGTGAAAGACAAGCCACAGGATGGGAGAAATATTTACAAGTCATACATCTGAAAAGGGTCTAGTATCCAGAATATATAAAAAACTCTAACAACTGAATAGTAAAAATAATTACTTGAAAGTTGGCTAAGGATTTGAATAGCCACAGTTTTACGATATGACCCAGCAGTTCAATTCCTAGAGAAATGAAAACAAATGTCCACACAAAAATCTGCAAGTGAATCTTCATAGAGCATTATATTTTTAAGATTTATTTATTTGAGAGTGAGAGAGAAAACACAAGCAGGGAAGAGGGGCAGAGAGAGAGGGAGAAGCAGATCCCCCACTGAGTAGGGAGCCTGACTCAGTGCTTAATCCCAGGATCCCAGGATCATGACCCAAGACAAAGGCAGGTGCTCAACTGAGCCACCCAGGTGCCCCATTCACA